CCCAGAGGAATGTTAGGAGCCCTGGCTCCAGCCTGACGTCTGGGGGAGGTCTCAGCCTGCTGTTTACTTGCCCCAGGGCTGGCTGTGCTTCAGAGAGGCTTTCATTTGTTTCTAGTATACAGGTAACACCTGTAAGCATGAACCTCTCATGTAGGCTCTGGGACACAATTTACAACAAAGTGGCACCAACAATGTAACACTCAAGTCACTAAGACCAATGGAATTGTCAGCACAGACTTAAACACTTTCCAACACTGCCCCAAGCATTGTGCCACCATTGTCTTAGAATCTAGCTACACGAACATTCCAGCCTTGTGTTTTCCTTGTGGTCAAAGTGGAATTTACGTTTTGTTTTGACCTATTCCCTAAAACTTACTTTTAAATTTTATATGAATGGTAGGTGTTCAAAGGATGAAAGTTGATTTAATGCCCATGCTTTATCATCTCTACTTAAAAATGCTAATCTTAATAACTTAATAATTTGGATATTTTCCTCTTCAGAGAGATGGCTCACAAATCAGCACTGAGCCTTCTTTTAGTTTTGCCCCCACCTTAATCCTCTTATTGTTCCAACACAAGCTTTGAAGACCCAAGGAAAAAGACTAGAGTTTTTGCCACCTTATAATCACAAACAATATCTAGAACTGTGGACTTTAAAGTCTTATCACTTATTCAAAGAATTACCTTGATATTTCTAAAGACCAACATATATTTTATATCTGAGAAATATCTTAGGAAATAATGTAAATACAGCCCTTCCAAGGAAGGAGAATTCCAAATTCTGCATAGGAATTCCCATTTTCCACTTGAGGTTGCAGAAAATGACTTATTGAAGGTTTCAGCAAAACTTACAGCCATGGTTATACATAGAACAGCTTCTCCCAGTCAGTCAGTTTTAATGTGTTAGGACCATTGTCCCACAAAGCTGCCCATGGCAAACTGAATACAGCTTCCCATCAATGCCTTTGACAGCCTAAGACTGTGACGGCTGAGAACAGGCTACCTCTGATCTGAATTGCAACTGTAGATGATCTGGATGTCTGTGCTTTAATCCCAGTCATTTGAATTCTCTGTGGATAACCACTGATCTCTACAGTGGAACACAAACTAGGACACACCCAGGGTGACCTGGCTCTCCAGCAGCTCAATTTATTATGCAAAAGCAAGGAAAGATGGCACTTGGCTATCTTAAAGACAGGATGGACAAATCAAGGAATAAACAAGCAAGCACTGGAATTAAGTGGGTGAGTTGACAGATGCCTGTGTTCCCAGCACTAGGGAAGCTGAGGCAGGATGGCCGGAGCTACATGGGAAGGCTGACTTGAGAAAAAAGAAAAAAAAAAAAAGGAATAGGGGAAACTAAGTTCATATGAGACACCAGCTGCTTCCTCTTTAGAAGTCCTATACTTCAGTTATAATACAGGCATATGGTATTAAGTATAAACAATAAGAAAAAATTCTTAGATATAAAAATGAAAAGAATTTGCAGAGAAAATATACAGAAATTAACCTAATCATTTACCTAAAAATATTATTTATGATTCATAAACAGTTTTTAATTATTTGGGTGTATAGAAAAGTAAGCAGTCAGCTCAAGGCCTATTTGTTTTGGGTAGACTGTGCCTTAAAGAAAAATTCCAAGAATGGTGTTCCCTTTATTTTGAGACTAGGATATCTCACAATCACTAAAGCCCCAAATTTATGCAGCCCAGTATTTTTATTTTGCAACATCAGAGCTAAGATAAAAATAGTATTTACTAATCAAATTCCTATGATCAGATGAAAAACTAAAATGCACACATTTGCACAAACACAGTACCTGAGAACTAGCCCTGTGCTTCAACACAGAGTGTGTGTGTTCTATATGCATCTCTACATGAATGAGTGAAATGGCAATTACCCTGCTTATCTCTTGGTTCAACAGAATAATGTCACACTAACACACAGATAGGTAAAGTAAAAACTCTACATACAAGGCTTTAAAATTCTTCCCCTATTTTATTTTGTGTATATGGGTGTTTTGCATGCATGCATGCATTTCTATGCACCATGAGTGTGCAGTGTCTGCAGAGGCCAGAAGAGAACACTAGATTCCCCTGGATCTGGATTTACAGATGGCTGTGAGATGCCATGTGTGTGCTGGTGACTGAAACCATGTCCTAACAGCTGAGCCACCTTTCTAGCACCCAGATTCAAGGTTTAAATAAAATATTTTCACTTTGAAATTTATTATCTGTTGGAGAATTTATATATGTGTGGGTGTCATGTATACACACACACAGTTTTATTTCACTATCTTTGCAAAGTTTTTATGTATAAAAGGGTTACCACAGGGTTAGACAGAGGAGGTTCTGTCACCAAAGTTGAAGGACAGCTATAAATCATGTCAAAGAAAAAATGGGAAGACAATACATGAAGTAGTATAAAATGGAACAAGGAAGTGCAGAACAATGAAACCTAAAAAAGGAGAGCCCACATTGGGAATTTTCTCTAAGCAACAGGCACCAAACATCTTCCTAATAAAGATTACCCAAATGCATGGGCCACAATGAAAGCAGCACTTCCTGGTTCAGGGACAGTTTCAAGGAATGCTTTACTTTTAAAATAGAACCTGTTAGAATTTCCCCCATTAACTTCTTTCCACAAAGAACTACAACCATTTTATTAAACATTGGGAGAAGAGTGATTGCCGTAACAGCAGCGACCTGATTAAAGCAGATGGGAGCTGGACAACAGAATTGTAGCCATTCAACCAAACAACACAGACTCTTCCTCAAGAGATCCACACCATGTGAGGGGGGAGCTGAAGAGAATTACCCATGAGAGTCTGGTTCCTCATGGCTAAGGCGTCTCTGCTCAAAGTTAGAGCAGCACACATGCTCACTGTCCTGGCTAGCTCATAAAGGAAACATGATTTCAAGAGGGAGACAGGCCTAAAATAAATAGGTAATAACACAGAGCTCGGCAAAAACAAAACAAAACAAAACAAAAGTCTTCTCCACCCATAACATTGGCAATTACTTAAAGGCCACAAAGCAACAACCCACAAAACCTTAGGCTATGTCTTTGATAGGGATGCAAGCAGATCAAGTGTGATCATCTAGTCTGTTTCTCAAAAATAAACTTAAATTCTGTTTTTTCTCAAAAAAAAAAAAAAAAAAACCTTATACAATGGATTAAATGGTTCACTGGACTTTCTCATCCATGAAACAACTTAACCAACAGCTAAAATAGTTCTATGATCAATATAATCTGCATTACTACCTCAGAATACCACATCAAATATATCTGACACAGGGCAATCACTTTGTCAGCATGCAATACTAGTGCCTAATTTTTTGATACTGAAAGTTGGAGTTTTTGTTTTGTTTTGTTTTTCAAGATAGGATTTCTCTATGTAACAGCCCTATAGACAAGGCTGGCCTTGAACTCATAGAGATTTATCCATCTGCCTCTGCCTCTCAGGTGCTGGGGTTAAAGGCAAGGGATAGCATGCCTAGCTACTAAAAACTATAAAAGTGTGACTCTTACTGAAATTCCCCTGGATAGCACTAGTCTGGGAGGGAGAAGGTCGAAAGAAGGCATATCCCAGCATGCCTCTGGGTCCAGCACACCGCTTCATATACTCAAGTCACTGCTGGCAGCAGCCACTATTGAAACCTGCCACCCCTTTCCACCAAGTGAGGGCCCACCACATGCTCTAGTTACAGCCCCACCAGGGCTCTGATCCACCAGAAAATGGGCATATACTGGCCACTGTGCTCTGTGCTATTGTGACTGAACCAATGCCACGGTAGAGACTATGTTTATTTGTTTGCTTGTTTCTTGCACTCTCAAAAGCCCCATTTGATGCAGGGAAGCCAGCACAGAGCAACAACCATATTTATCAACGTAGAGGGGGAAAAAAACCAAAAACGTGTGTGTGTGTGTGTGTGTGTGTGTGTGTGTGTGCGCGCGCGCGTGTGCGCGCGCTATTCAACGACCCTATATTAAAGTGGAGGTGTTGGCATGGATACAGACAGCTTAATAAGATCTGACGTATAATCAGTTGACCAAAATAAGTATATAACTCAGAAAACTAAGGAAAACAGACAAAGCCCATGCACTTTGAGACAGAATCAGGCAGCAGTTAATAATGGTTTCCATTCTCCTTCACAGTTTAAGCCTCAATCAAATCAGCTGTTTGTGGGGATTTTGAAACCACCATAGATTAAAATCGGCTCTAATTCAAATGGTCAGCTACTACAGAATTACTGATAAATCCACTTCGAGAGACTTTTGGGTCACGGCCCTCCTGCGAGATCTTCAAATATTACCCATGTGCAGTAATGCTGTGTGCACCACCACTCTCCCTTTCTTCATTCACCTTAGATATAAGAAAGCGCATTATCACAATCAGCTCAATGATTCACAGGCTTTACTGTGAATCTCTATAATACAAATGAAGCAACCGTAGCCAAAGAGCCACTAAGGAGCCATGTTCCAGAAATGAATGCTACACATTCACAGGCTGATTGCAAGGTTAGGGAATTAATAACTGTAGTAGACATACCAGGGTTAGCTGATGAATTTCTAAGCTTCATGTTTTCTACAGTGAAACTATCTAAAGTACAGCATTTGGACTGCCTCTGCTGCCACAGACCAGGAACTTTGATACTCCACCGGTTGAGTAAATTGAATCCATATATTGTATTTACGCTCTCTGTCAAGGTTGCTGCTTGACATTTCAAGTGATCAAAGGCAAGCAGTCATCAACCCTGTAGCCTTCAAAACTATGTTCATTACATTTAATCAAGGGCCAGCTCCGCCTCCTCACTTACTAACACTAAGAATGTCTGAATACACAGCAGTTTTCAGTAGCAAATAGAGACACACTACTGCATAAAGACAAAGAAAACTCCAACCAACAAAACCAAAGAGAAAATCAAATGAGTATCATCCTCCATAATGTGTAAGAACATAGAACTGAAAAGCTCAGATGTGCTCTGTAAGCATCCTACCTGAGGCGGCATCAATCCCTGTGGAAACTCCCCTTCGATCAGAGACTGGACGAGATGACCCTGGCATGCTGACTGGGTCAGAGCGGACCGGCTGGATCCTGCAATGCAATTTCATTTAGTTCACATATGTTACTGGCATGGAAACTGTCACTTCCTACAACAGACCTTAAATCAGGAATGCTAGAATGGCTTAATCCATTAAAGAACCATTCATTCTAAAACCAGACCAAAAAAACAAAAAAAGAGTACAGTCCCAAACTCCTACCCAAAGACAAAACTCTAAAAACATGCCATTCCTACCTTACCAGGAACACTCTAACTTCTTGTTAATGTTTGTTGTTCAGTAGATTAAAAAGGCGTTGGAAAGTTAAAATGAAATGAAAAAAAAAATGAGTAGAATTGGAAAAGAAGGAAAATACTGTGAAAACTGTGGTTTTTCCAAAGTATACACATGAACATTTATTGTATGGCATCAGGACTGAGTTCAATAAAAGACAGAAATGATACAGACTATACATATACATACATACATACATGCATACATACATACATACATACATTGTATATAGCCCTGGCTGTGCTAGAACTCTCTATGTAGAACAGGATGGCTTTAAACTCATTGAGATCCTCCTGCCTCTGCCCCCACAAGTGTTGAGATTAAAGGTCTATACAACTACATCTAGCCATAATTTAAATATTTAAGACACTCTCATGCCATCATTACAGACTGTTATTTTATTAACAAGGAAAGACAGGATAACAAGGCTGTATTGTACTGCACAGGTCAGCCAGGGCAGCTACTAAGTAACTTTCAAAAGATTACCAATTAACATATAATAATCAATTTGGACCTCAGCAAAACTGGTTTATTATATACAATATGAAGGAGCTCAAGAAGGATAATTTATTAGTACTGAGTTTCCAGTAGCTTTAGCACAAATACTATTAAGATAATAACTACAATTGAAAGTTCTAAGTCCCAGGCAATGAGGGAGAACAATGTATGCACCTATGATAATCCAGTGGGATCTTTACTGAACATTAACAGTATGCATAGTGTTATTTTAGAAGCAGGTTGAAATGAAATGTAAGATATGAAGTGTGTTTGCACCTTACTTGTGAACTGTTACTAAGAAAATCTAAGGTGCAGAATGAGATGTCAAAGCAAATAAAAGTACAAGACAAGAAGGTGTGAAACATAGTTAGTGATGGATAGCATATTTGATGGTGGTCAATAAGATCACACTACATAGTGACATAGCTAACAGTTTGTGCAAGTTGACAATATAATGTTCAACAAAATCACCACACAATTTCTCACAAAGCAATACATTGCTGTGCACATCGGATGAGCTTCTCTTGGAGCTAGGCAGGATATGGATCTGCTCAGCTATGCAGATCAGGCTGGGCTCAAACTCACAGATATCTACTGCCTTAGGACTGGGATTAAAGGTAACTGGGCAACCATGGCCAGTACTATACCAACCTTAGTGGTACCATATGGGGTAAATGACAGTATAATTAACACAAAGGATGAGTTGAGATTTTACAAGAAATGAAATAATTTTAAAGAAAAAGTGAGGCCAATGTCCCGTCATCTGACCACTGAGGCCAGAAGGACACATCCAAGAGGAGAGCAGCTGAGCCAGACTGGTGAAATGAGACAAGGGAACTACTAACTGGGTGGTAGGTTAGGTCATAATGACACTGAAGGATGACAAAATTAGAACACACATGCCTCAGACCTTCCTGCTTCAGCCTCTCAAGTGCGGGTAATACAGGCAAAACTGGCAAGGAGTTAAAGTTCAGCTAGACTGTAAGCAGCCGCTCAAAACCTGAAGTACAAATATAATGAAAACAAATATACAAACATATCCAGGATAAATATATTTAATATCAACAAACAATGCAACACCTCAGTTAAATCATGCATAAGCAATTTAAAGTTAGATGGGGGGGGGTCTAAGAACAACTGAAAGATTTTGAAAATGTAACATTATTTAAAAATAAATCAAGTTATAAAAGATTAGGAGGACTGTATCTGAGATAGATGCCCAGTGAAGCTGCGTGAAGCAGGAAGGTAGCCAAGGGGCTCCAACAGCACCCGGTGATGGTGACTAAGAGCAAAGTGATAGGGTCTTGTGCATTTCACAGAAGAGAATAAATAGTTAAAAAGAGACAAAGGTTTCCTGCGTTAGAAGTTTTACTACTAATATTTAATTATGTGATGCTGGAAATACAAATTGCTAAATGATGACCTTAAGTTGGCCCATGTTTAATAACCAACAACACTGAGTGAGCATGGTCCAGCAATCTTATTTACTGTCTTATATCTGAGGGCCATGCTTAAAAATTGGAACAAAATAAAGTTCAAGATGGAAGCCACTGAAAGCAAACTAAGCCCACAGAAAGATGAGCACTAAACAGAGGCTTACCTAGCACTTAGGAGATAACTTCATCCTTAGGAACCATGCTAAAGCTATAGCAAGGCCTAAGGATGAAGCAATGTGGTTCCACCCTTAGCACTATGTGAAGGGGAGGAGGAGCCTGAGGGAAGGAATAAAATAAAACAAAAAAGAACAAGGGAAGAAAAGAACAAAGCACTAAGTTAGGCTTAGTGGTACATGCCAACAATCCAAACATTTGGAAGGAAGGAGAGGAAGGATCCCAAGTTCAAAGCCAGCCTGAGCTGTATTGCCAGAACATGTCTATTAAAAGAAAAATAAAGCATTGATGGAGTAAAAGCAAAACCATATAAATGGAAGACTAAGGATCCTATTGAAAGCATAGGTGGATGACAGCGCCCCTTACCAGCAGGAAGTAGTTTGGAAAGAACGACGCCCAAATTCCCAAATATTGTGTATAAATGTTTGTTTTCATTTAATTGGACTTTCTTATATAAAATTAAATAAAATAATAATTAAAAAAAGAAAGCATTGGTGGTTTCTATGGTGCCCATTAGGGAACAGAGTCTCAAATTTCCAGATATATTCTGGAATAGAAGTGGCATAACTCGATGAACATATGTGACAAAAGAAAGGAGGTGTGAAGAAGGAACCTAGGCCAGATATGCAACATCCCACCTATAATCTCAGCACTTAGCAGGAGGCTGAGGCAGAGGGACAGTCATGCATTCAAAACCATTCAGACTATACAATGACACCAGGGCTAAAGAATCCTAACCAGTCCTTAAACAAAACTTTAGAGATTAAGAAACTAAAGGAACTGTGGGTTCTGGCTTTAGCAGTAGATCGGAGGAGTCAGATAAGATTGAAAATGAGAGAAAGAAAATGCTTTGGAGGCCATCACAAGAAAACACAGGCAGGCAAGTGGCATCATTTACATTCCAGCCACTCTGTGCATAGTTCCTGGCATTAAAGAGTGTAAACAAAAATTCTGAAGGCCTAGTCTAGCCTGGCAACAATTTTGTTTTTGTTTTGTTTTGAGACAGGGTCTCTCTTACATGGTCCTGGCTGACCTTGAACTCATAGAAATCCAGCCATCTCTGTAGAGTACTACCATTACAGGTATGGGCCATCACACCCAGCTTGGTTTTGTTATGTTTTCTTTTTAGGAAATTTTAGAATTTATTTATTTTTATTTTATGTACATTGGTGTTTTGCCTGCATGTGTATCTGTCAGGAGGTGTTGAGTGCCTGGCATGGGAATTATAGACAGTTGTGAGCTCCCATGTGGGTGCTGGGAATTGAACCCAGTTCTTCCGGAATAGCAGCAGTGCTTTGAACCACTGAGCCAGCTCTTAAAACCCTGGCCTTGTTATTTTTTCAAAATTTTTATTGCTACTAGGTGGTAGTGACAGACACCTTTAATCCCAGCACCTGGTAGATTGAGACAGGTGGATCTCTGTGAGTTAGAGGCCAGCCTGGTCTATAGAGTTGAGTTCCAGGACAGGCTCCAAAGCTAGAGAAACCATGTCTCGGAAAAAAAAAAAAAATTGCATTTGACAAAGAAGAAGGGTATATTTCATCATATGATTAAAATATAACTTCCCATAATTTTATTTTTAAACATACAATGCACAATAGATATTTAAAATGTTTGCAAAGGATGTTCTTATGGTCTTGAACTCACAATCCACCCGTCTTGGACTCTTGAATGTAGGGATTAAGGATGTGTGCAATTATATCCACTCTGAGTTTAACAACAGCCTGATTTTTTCCTGATGGAGGCTGATTAGACTCAGCCTTGGGCATATGAGGCAACCCTTTAGCACTCAGCCATATCCCAGTCCTAAAATTCTTTTGAAAGAGAAGAAAAGTAAAATGGAGATTGTATTACATTAAACTGAGCCCTTCAGTATCTACTGGTGTCTCTTAGAAAGACAAGTTAAATGCTATGCAAATACTAGACTCCAAAATTTAAAAATAACTAAATTGCATCATAAAAAACAGAAACGAAAAGTGTGCCTTTTAGACATGTATATGATTCTGACAAGTAAGAAGTAGAGAGTAAGGATCAGGAAAGCCCAGGCTACAAATCACAAATGAATCACATTAACCCTTCATCTTGCACCACATGAGGTAATGAGAAAGGCATGGGGGAGGAATTGAAGAAGAGCAATCCTGACTTCAGAAGGATGAGGGAGAGTACATGCAGGAGCGTGGACAAAGACAATAAGCTGGAGTGGCTTTTTAAGGTGCTCCAGTATTCGCAAAAAGACATTGTTGTATGTGATCAGCTCCTGAGTGATGACAGTAAATGACAGGTAACATATGCAGTCAACAGTAGAATACTGTGTCAGGAGAAATGTGAACCCTGAACACTTGCAAGTCAGCTCCTGGTTTCCTCTCTTACCTGAGACTGTTGAGATCCAGATCATCTGTATCGAAATCCAAGAGTGGCTGTGGTGTGTCACTCGGTCCGTGAGATTGCAACACAGACGAACTAGATGATATGACCGTGGTTTGGCCTGAGGGGTGGATGGTTTTAAACTGGAACTGGGGACCCATCCAAAGGCGTCTGTGGGGTCCAGTGTGCGTCACAATTTCAACCTGAAAAAGACAGTCATGGTTTCAATGTATTATGACCTGCAGAGGTAACTTCACAGGTCTCGAATCCCTTCTTTTAATACCCATGTTACATTTTAATGCCCACGTTACATTTTAGTGTAAGAGAACCCAGAGCAAAAATAACAATCACAATTATAATCTGCATGGACATTGCTGCTCTTGCAGAACACATAGCCAGTGGCTGACAGTGGCTTCCAAGTCCATTTCTAGGAGATGTTGCAATACTTTCTGAATTCTTAAAGAAGCTATACTCAAGCACACAGACCCTGACACACATAAATACACACACAGGCACGTACTTAAAATCTTTCAAAACACAAACGGCTTCACCAATAGCCATAAGGTAACAAAAATTCCAACACTGGGGATGAGAACCCCTCTTTTGAATTATTGGTCAGGGCTGTCAAAGACAATACATATAAATTGCTGCTATTGACCTTGGTTATGCCCCAGATGTGGAATGCAAGTCCCTATTGCTGAAGATATCATGCACTTCAGACACAGAAACCAGAGGACTTGACTGGATCTGATCTGAAAGTCTCCTCCTAGCTTTCATGACACCAGAATTTGTCATTCAAGCTTCTAAAGGAGGGAAGCAAATACCTATGAACCACAACAATGACCAGCAAGGCATAAAAACGCTAACTAAGAGCACAATAGTGGCACTTATGCCTGGGTGGTGAGCAACAGCTCTCTAACTGGACTAAGACTTGCTTAACATGAGGGAAATCATCCTGGTACTGGAAACCTAGCCAACTACCTAAGACTAATGTGGTCATGGGTCTTGGAGGAACATCTATAGCCTCCAATTTACTAAGCCAACATAATCCCTAACTACATTCTCAATATCTATCATTATACCCAAGGATAAATTAGTTCTCATCCCTCATCTAGGAGATGTCTCCTTGTAACAGATGGAGACCATTACAGAAAACTGTAACCTACAAAATGCAGTTGGGGAGCCCAGTCCCAATGAATATATCTATAACATACTCCTGCATCTAAGTCTCCCGGATAATTGTGCAAGAGAGAACTGAATGATTGTAAGATACAGAGACACAGGAAGTTTGCTGTGAGATGGTGTTTTCTAGTCAGAGAAGGTACACCCATGAATGAAGTCTCACCAATGTGGCTGCCTAAACATGACTTGAACAAGAATGACCCTGATAGATAATATGGAAGGGGGAGTAGTCACAAGGCCTCAACCATACACAAAGAACTGCACACAACTAAGGAATGCTTAAGGGGAGAAACAGTCTTTTCCAGGAAAGGGCACACAGATTAGTTATCTAATACTAAATAGTCAGCCTTGAAAACATACATATATTATACAAATTGTGAAGGTTTGGATCATTTATTTAGGAATAAATACACACACACACACACACACATACACACACACACACCTCCAACAAAAACAATTAAAGAGTAAGATCATGAACTTTAAAGAAAATGGGGAATGTAAATAGGAGGATTTAAAAGGAGGAAAGGGAAAGGAGAAATTAAGTACTTATAGTCTCAAAAGAAATGTAACCCAAAATTGTAGAAATGTACATACATCAACAAACCCACAATATATACACTATTTGTGTATCTAAAGCACAAAAATCCCATGAAAGAAAAAGGAGTTGTAGAGTTGAAAACCTGAGTTGACCACCCCATGTAAACAGTATCGGATCCTTAGGGAATGCCAGCCTTTGTAAATTCTGTGAGGTAAGTATTTACCACAATGTGGTCATGCAAAGGAAGCAACTAAAAGCAATTTTTTTCAAGCTCTTGAAAAATGTGCAGTTGCTTTTGGTTCTATAAAACTAAGATAAAGTCTCAAGTAATTCCACAGATGAAGCTGGTTTCCTGGTATAATACAATAATATATTTATGTTGCTTGTAAATTTTCTCAATCTACTTTTCAAATGATTTTTTTAAAGATTTATTTTATTTATATGTATGTATCTGTGTGAGGATATGTCACATGTTGCAGGTGCCTAGGGGTTTCCTAAGAGATACCTGATGTGGGAGCTGGGAACTTAACCACTGAGCTGTCTCTCCGACTCTTACATCTATTTATAAATAAAGGAGCTATTATTATGCTTTTTCTCTCATGTAACTGATACTGATGAAAATGTTTTCTCAACTGTCATAAACATTGATACAGGGTTTTACACATAGTAAAACAGTAATTCAAAAGTTTTATAAGCATCCCATTCTACGGAAGGGGTGGAGCTTTGCCAGGATTATACTCAATACTGTGAGAAAAAAGAGAAAGGAAGCCAGGGGTAAACTGAAAATGACTGTGCAAAGGATCCTTTTGAATGATAGGTTATGCAGATCTATAGCATACTTTAACTATCCTTCTCCCAGCCTTGCGATTGTTATACCCACCTCTGTGCAAAGGCTTTATCAAGCTGGCTTCCCACATGCCTTGAGTCCTTGCCCTGATTATTTTATATTTAATTACGTTTCTCAGACTGCAGTGATTAAGTTTAACAAAACACAACTGAGGTTCACGGAGTGCAAAACAGTTTGAGAGGGCACAGGCACCCTGGTCTTGGGAGGACATTCACATACCCACTAATGACAGGGAGAAGACACTTAGATCAAGGACAGTGAATTCTGATTTTCAGAGTTGAATTCAACAATGTAAATTAGGCCACAGATAAAGAATTGTGTATATTTTAAGCTCAAAACCATCAGTGTTACAGAGCCGAGAGGTAAACAGATGCCTGTGCAATTTCACTGAGGCGATAGCCAGATGTTCCAGTATTCACGCTCCTGTTGTGTGCAGGACAAACATATTGTATGCACTTTCACACTGACAGCACACATTACCCCTTCTTCTAAAAGAAAAGCTGAAGTGAAGGACAATGATTTCTTTGACAGCTTTCCTGGACAAAACTTGTGCACAATAGGTTTATTTTATCTGGATATCACCAGGAGAGGAAGGACCTCAGCATGTCAGATGGACTGTCGTTCACAGGGCATCTGTGAGCACTGCTGGTGTTGGAATGAACATACATCACCCAGAAATGGTTTGTTCCTCCAGTTTCTAGAGCCATTTCAGCTTTTCATGCTACCCTCCCTAAGCACATCACAAAGGGTCCCACTTCTTGGAGGCACCTGTCTGATAAAAGCTGCCCAATGGGTAATGTGAGACAGGTCATTAACCCCAGCAAATGATGTCAGACTGGAGGCAGACACAACAGCATCTGTAATGAAGTCCCTATAATCACTCCACTGTGAAACAAGTCACTTTGAAATCAAAGCGCTTCACTTCAAGACAGAGTCACCTAGTAAGGTGAGGAGAAGCCAGGTGAAGTGGTTTTAGGAGGGTTTAGAGGCCACCAATAACAACGTGGCCTGGGTAAAGCCAGGAAAGGAGTTGCAGCAGGAACTAGCAGAAAATAATGCTGAACTTCCTTATGACAGCACTGAGACATTTTGCATGCTCTGCATCAAAGCAAACATTTGCATGGGCACAGGTAAATGTCAATGAAATAAATACATAAAATGTACAGATAAAATGTATGTGTAGAACATGGAACAGGATTTCTAAGACATTCTTAATAAGGAAATACTCATAATTCTTGTGACTTATAAAGAGTTATAATTATCTCCATTTTCCTGTAAGGGAAAGAATAAAATAAATACAGATTTCCATTCTCCCTATTGCAATAAACACAATATATCAGAGTTTTACCTGGGAAAGCCATTCTTCATCTTCCTGTCCACTATGGTCAGAGGCTAAACTGTCATAGGACCCATGCCGAGTGATGGGGCCAGGACTTCCAGGGGGGATCGCTACAGAGGGAAAAAAAAAAAAAGAAGAACTTAAACCTCTCCAAACTGTACACCAGAAAACAGACAAGAACACAATCAGCTCCAGTAAAAGATATAACACATAAAACACAGGGGCAGTTTATGAACTAATGATCAAACAAGGTCTCAGAAATATCTCCAATTAACAGTAACAGGCTGTTGGTAAATGCTGTGTACCCAGCTACTTAGGAGGCTTCAGGAGAAGATCATGTCAGGGTCAGCCCAGACAATAGTAAGAGGCTTCACTATAAAAATAAATAAATAAACAAACAAATAAATACATAAATTTAAAACCCAAACAAAACTGTGGAAATTTAGTGATGAGATTCCTGGGGAAGGATTAACTGAATCCATCTGAACACCCAAAGTTCCCTGAGGAGCTGGCAGATGTGCGTGCTAGGTTACTTGTGATGGGTTCAAAGAACCCATCCATTCATTACTTTTATCTGCAGTGATCCAAATATTGTCTTTCTTGGCTATTTCAAGTAATTTCCCTAATTCTTTACTGCTAAGATATAGTTGGAAGTGGTCTATATTTTCCTACAAAGAGAACCTTTGGTTAGGAAAAGCAGTAAGGTTCTTTGTTCATTTATTGGTGTCTGTTGGAAACAGGTTTTATTCAGGCCAGGCTGCCTCAAAGTCACTATGGAGTTGAGGATGACTTTGAACTCTTTTTGAGACAGGGTCTATCTATGGAGTTCTGGCTGGCCTGGAACTCACAGAGATCCTCATATCTCTGCTTTCCAAGTGCTAGAGTTATATGCATACACTGTTGTGACCAGCCTTGATGTTGAACGTCTAGTCAACCTGCTCCAACTTGCTAGGATTACAGCATCTGCACCAATGCTAGCTTTCTGAAGAGCTAGGAATCCAACCTCGTGCTTCCTGCATGCTAGGCAAGCAACCCACTAGTTCAGGTACTCCTCAGCCTGAACAACAAAATGTTTCTAACATCCATTGATTCCCAACAGTTCCACAACCCGAGTGTTTTCTTTGAAGGCACAATCACTCCTGAAGTCTCTGGATTCTCTCCATTCCTTCTTTTAGAAAGACCTCATTTTTAAAAGCCCCATTTTAAAAGGTTCACAATAAAACTGGGCTGAATGCACAAACTCCCCAGCCCCGCACCTGCCTTCAGAGAAACCAAGCAAAGAAATTAACTGGGAAACAGAACAAAAGAAAAGGCATGGGGGTGAACGGGTAGGAGCAGGGGGTAAGCAGTAAAAAAAACCACAGCTATAACAGGAAACAACTGCATCATTTCCACTACCAGTGATATTTGTAACTACATCTACACCCAAAATTTCCTTAGCACAGAACACTAAAAAGAACACAAGCATTTTAAATATTCTTAATACAGATTCCATGAAAAGCTTAATACATATTTCTACGAACAGTAAAGGAGATGCCAATCTTATTTGATGATGACAAGGTAAGGTATGGAGAGAAGAAAGAAATCATGGAAACGGATACAAACAAAGGAGATAACAAATGACCCCAAGGCAAGATTTTTAACAGACACATGCTCATAAAAAAAAGTTATCTGAACTTGTTTTGAGAAATGAGACCCAATTCAGCAGTGATGGGCAGACATAAATATAGTGTCAAAATTAAGATTTTCAACAGTCCAAACTATTAACTGCTGGTTCTTCAAAATCCTGGTTCTCTAGCACAGGCATGTTGCTATTTAGCTTGAAACTCAAATGATCACAAATGATCTCTTATGGTGGCAAATGACATCATACATAAAAGAGCACTCTAACAATTGTCCATTATTATCCCAACACTCTTTGGGGACTAATTCTGGTATATACTGTGAAGATGGTAAGTCAACTGATGTTCTCAAGAGGCAGCTGCCCCCAAAACATTCATCACCTTTGTCTGATGTTAAATCTTGACACAGACAAAACCAAGAGGAATTCTCAATTGCCTCTCCTCCCTTCCCTTAAACTAGTATTTAAAAAAGATGGGGTGTTCATGCCTATGGCTCTGAGTCCAATCTCAGCACACACAAGGCAGAAGGAGAGAATTTCATGTTCAATGCCAACCTTGGGCATTGAAGTACTACACCCCTCCCCAAATCAGCACATGCCACGAAAAAAAAAATGTTAACAAAAAGATTGACCACTTATTTGACAGCACATGCTGTGTAGAGCAGATGAGAATGGAAGAGATTTTAATGAAGTGTAATGAAGTCATGTAGATATCTGAGGATAAAATATTACCAAGGTAAAATGAAGCAAAGTAGTACAATGATGTGGTTAGTAAAACTAGAGTCATATGATAAAATGACTGCACAGCTTTAAGCAAGAGAGTAAACCACCTTTCCAGGGGAAAATACAACCAAATGTGGATTTCCAAGAGAATGTGTGGCATACCACATGCCCTGGACCTAAAGCTGTAGCTTTCTAGGAGTAAGAAGTCAACAAGTATTAAGTGTAAGGCTGAAGTTCTGTATCCCAGACTAAGTGACAGCAACCGAATGGTATGACACTAGGTCTTCATGAAATTGTGGACATTCTGGTGGCAGGGATGAACCTAGGGTAAGGATGGAGTGGAACTACTGCCGGAACAACACTGGTCTTGAGTTGGCAGTTTATTGGTTTGCTGCACTATTGTTTTTGGTTGTGGGCATGCTTGGAATTTCCCAAGGGGCTGGAGGAGGATGAGGAAATAGGGTGGAGGAGGAGCCTTTCTGTCCTCATCAGCTTACAAAGGAAGTAGTAAATATTCCAAATATACAACACAGACATGAATTCTTTGTATATGTGAAATAGAGACAATAAATATGTCTCCTTTAAACTGACAGAAGGGAAAAAATAAAAATAAAAAAGACAACAAAAGGAAGCCGGGAATTTGAACTGCAAACTCCTATGCGGAGATTTTAAAAAGGTCTTCTGCCCACTGGTTTCCTAATTAAGATGCTCTGGCAGTAGCAGAAGATGGAAAATGTAAAGTGTAGCAGAAATATTCTCCATATTAATTGAATATCCTTTTTTTCTCCCCTGTATTTATTAATGTTTGAAGCTTTCTCCAATCCTAGTTAGGTAGAGAAGTCCACATTTATTGCCTTGGGGAGGGAAATGACATACCAGATCACAGGTAAGAATAAATGCAAACTTTGAATGTAGTAGGATGAAAAACAAAAACAAAAGGCAAAAAGACCATGTGATTGGAGCAGAGTCTACATATTTCCCATCCTTAGAATCAGAAATGAAAAGAATATTTCTGAGTGACAGGCATGAAATGAGCACAGAATCTCATCTACTCTGAATAGAGTTCAGGAAGGACAGAACATTTGGTATGCGTGCAACAGTAACAGGCAATGTTCTGAGGACCATAAGACAGGAAGTAGAGACAAAAATGGATGCTAAGGCAGCCTGTATCCATCAATATCCAATAATCTCATCAACAACTAAGTAATGTACTTGGTCCTAACGAGAAAAAAAATGTTTGCAAATATATTATGTCAGATTATTTTACACAAAATTTAGATGCAACATTAGAAAGGATATCAGTGATTCATTTTTTATATTTCCAATAATATAGGCATAAACTATAAGTTAATAAATTATTTAATTTAATTCTGTACTGTATTTGGTTTCTTAAGACAGGGTTTCTCTGTGTATCCCTCGCTGTCCTGAAACTCACTCTATATAAAAGGTTGGCCTCAAACTCAGAGATCTACCTGCCTCTGCCTCCCAAGTGCTGGGGTTAAAGGCATGCACCACTTCCTCCCTGTGAGGAATATTTTTCTTTTAATTAATTTTTATATGTTGATGTGTACCTGAGTATATGTATGTGAGCCCCTTGCATGCAAGAGCCTGCAGAGGTGAGAAGAGGGCTACAGACCCCTTAATTAGAGCTGTGGGCAATATGAGATGTCAGAAAGGTGCTGGGAACCAAACCTAGGTCCTCTGAAAAGGCAATAAGCACTCTTAACCACCAAGCCATCTCCACAGTTCCTAAATGAGAATATCCTTGATTCTAATTAAAGTTGTGCAATCCAAGTTGACAGAAACAAGTTACGTACCAGCCTTTTTATTTTTATGAAATTTATCTGTTGTATGTGTATGAGTATTTTTGCAAGTATGTATGTATGTGCAACATGTGTATGCCTGGTACCCATGGAGGTCTGGAGAGTCAGATCCCCTGGAATTAGAGTTATGGTTGTGAGCCACCTTGTGATGTCGGAACCTCTAGAAGAGCAGTGAGCGCTGTTACCAAAAAGGAATCTCTCCAGATTTGGTTAGTGGGTTTTTTAAATCAACTCTTTTTTTAGGTAATTGACAGTTGTTAGAATAAAGGAGAAGGAACCTCAAGATGTGAAGCTCACTATCTTACTCCTACTTTTGCTACAGGAATTTATAGTGCAACTTATCAAGCTAGATGCAGAGGAAGAACTGTCAATTTACTTTAGACTAGCACTTTAGAAATACAGTCTCCAAAACAGACATTTAATAAACAGAGAACACCAGACAGGGACAGGATGAACAGACCGTTACATGGTAACTGGGAACCAGAATGTTTACAGCCTATGTTCTCAGGGAAGCAGACACGCATAGAGTGAGTAAACAACAATTTAAAATAAACAACAACTAAAAAACCCCACCTAGTGTATTTTAGTGTATTTTGCTGTGAGAGGGATGTGTGTGTGTGTGTGTGTGTGTGTGTGTGTGTGTGCTTGTATGTACACTTCTATACTTCATATGTCTCAGTTGTCTCAGGACAAATAAAACAAAACACATTTGTCAAGTGCTGATCTCTGCAAAATACTCCTTTCAATCTCAGCCCAAACTGCTTTCCACAATGATAAAGTAAAATCATGAGAAAATTGAAATGGTTTGATAACCATGTCCCTAAGTCCAAGTCAAAGAATATGTTTTGAATTCTTCAAGAACTTTGGTTTTGGCTTCTGAGGTGTCTTCTGTAGCTGACTATAAAGATCTGTGTGCACAGAAATTTTCTTTTGATTATCTAAA